CTCCCCTCTTCCAGTTTAAAACCATTCCCCCTCCTCCTATGGCTCCCCTCCCTGACCCAGAGCCCCTCCCCAGCTCTGCTGAAGCCCCTTTAGGCACCGGAAGGGGCTCTGAGGTCTCCCCTTTTTGGCCTTCTCTTCTCCAGGCTGAACCCCCCCAACTCTCCCAGCCTGTCCTCCCAGCAGAGGGGCTCCAGCCCTCCCAGCATCTCCGTGCCCTCCTCCGGCCCCGCTCCAACAGCTCCGTCTCCTTCTGCTGGTGGGACCCCCCGAGCTGGAGGCAGCACTGCAGGGGGGTCTCCCCAGAGCAGAGGGGCACAATCCCCTCCCTTGACCTGCTGGCCACACTTCTGATGCAGCCCAGTTGGCGTTTGGGGCTGCAACCATTCATTGTCAGCTCATGTTGAGCTTCTCATCAATCAGCACCCCCAAGTACCCTCCAGGCTGAAGAACCAGGGAACGGTTCTTCTCTTTGAGTTTCCTTAGTCCTGTTGCCTCCTAGGAAACGGTGCCGGCAAGTGCCAGCGCCTCAGCAGAAGCAGCAGTGTCTGGGGAACAACCTCCTAAAAGACAGCACCGACCTCGGCAGGTTACCCAGATCGGCTTCTCCCCTTCAGAACCACCTCGTTAGCACAGAGGTCCAGCCGCTGACCGCGGCGAAGGAGGAGAACTGATGTGAACCCCAGGACAGCCAAGGCCTCCTCACCCCCGGCGGGGGACAGGCACGGTCCTCTCCCGAGTGAGAGCCAGTGGAAACCCCCAGCGAGTCCCCAAGGAAGGGCAGCGCTGGGCTCCCTGCCCCTCGCTCGCTCGCCCTGAGTGTGCACCGGGCGGGAAGGTCAAGCAGCCGTACTCTCATATACTCTCCCCTTCAAATGCAAAACAACTCCACCACCCGACCAAAAAAAAAAAAAACCCAATCAAAAAACCCCCTACCAATCCATCAGTTTGCTCAGAGACCTGTCCTCAGCTGGTATTTCGCAAGGAAAACAATATCAAATGCAGATCGGTCTGAGAGCAAGTTTGGCTCCAGCATATAGCAAAGATCAGAAGAGACTGCGTAAACCTGTGAGTAATTATTGAGTAAACATTAGTAACTTCCCAGAACTTCCCCACACCAAAGCAGACACCCTCCCAGCAAGTAAAAAATGTTTTTTCTAAGATTGCTTCCTTCTTTATGACAAATGCAGTGAGAAGCTGTTAGAAGACTACTCTTCCATCAGCTCCAAACCCCAAACACCACTAGGGCAGATCTACGCTTCTGTTAATGCAGGTAATTAAGCAGAGCTATTTAAAGGCAACAATATCTCTTCGTTTCCGTTCTCTCCCCCCTTCTTTTTTTTAAAGCATTGGAGTGAGACCAAAACTGAATAAAGTAACAGTAGCATAGGAACTTCTGCAAAACACAATAAAGAAAAAACATTCTTTCTTAAAAACAAGTCTTAAGAAGTTATGGGTTAAGAAAAGATACGACCACGAAGACTGTGGCTGGACCTGGAACATGCAAATACATGCAATTAGACACTAAAACAGATGAGTTCACAGATAAATCAATATAGATTAAGTATTCATGAAAGGAATAATTGGAAAAGCATTAAGAATAATATGTGGAAACATTTGGTACGGTACAGCATTCTTGCCTGTCAGGATAAGAAGCCTTAAGTATTTGGCCTAATTAATAATATTATTTTAAGCATCGATTAAGATATATGGAAAGAAAATAATTAAATCCTGTAAAAAGAGAACTAAAAGGAAAAAAAAAAAGTTTGCTTACTCTTCCTGACGCAAGTCATTAACGCTCCGATCTAGTGAGATCATATCGCTGGCCACCATATTAAACCCAAACTCTTTAATGCTGGCTTGAATGGATTCTTTGTAATCTGGTCCTAAAACATATGGCTTCGCTTCCTCTCCAGGGCCACCAACAACTCCGTGAGGCTCAGGCTCTTTGGGTTCAAAGTTACCAAGGACTCCAGGTCGTAAAACAGGATCTCGGTATACAAATGTCTGAGGCTTAAATGTGAGATACTGCCTCTGGATGATGTTTTGCTGTTTGTTATCACCACCACCATGATGATTTAGTTCATTTTTGGCCTTATTTTTCCTTCGAATGGATTCCAAGTCCACTTCCACACCTTCAACATGAGGCCAAGGTACCACAGGTTTGAACTTCTCGTTTCCTAGTCCATGGTCTCCTTTGTTGGGCATGGGTCTGTTGGCTTCGTTGTCATCCTAGATATACACACAGAGAAACAGCAAGAGATCATATCAATTCATGAACCTTTATTTATTTAAATCCGGTACCTTAAAATATACGTTAAGCAAGAAGGGAGAAGTCCCTGTTAAGGGGCAGAAGGACCACATTTTACTGAAGCAACCAGCAGCTTGAGAACGTCACCAGCTGGTGTCCACCCTTACCTTCGTGAGCGGGGCCTGGAAATGGCCGAGCGCCTCAGCACCCCCAAAGACCAACCCCCCCCTGGGACGCGTTAGCCGGACCCCAGCCCAGGCCGTGCCAGAGCCGCTGCCCCGGGAGCATGGCTGAGCCTGTTGGGGAGGGCGGCACAGAGGGGGACAAGCCTGCAGCACGGCACCTTGGGGACACTCCTGGACACAGGGGCTTCTGAGGCCACTGCAGGGCCTCGGTGGTCGCCAGATACAGCTGCAACATGCTCTTGCGCTGGAAGGAGTTCCGTGACTAGGTGTCCCCTGCCATGCAGGTCATCTTACCCCTACCCTTCGTCCCCAACATGCTCCCACCAGGCATGGCTTCCTCCACTACCCTTTATCCATGACATATTCCCACCAGACATGGCTCCCTCCACTACCCTTCATCTATGATGTGCTTCCACCAGGCATGGCTCCCTCTGCCACCCTTCATCCACAACATGTTCCCACTAGGCATGGCTCCCTCTGCTACCCTTCATCCACAACATGTTCCCACCAGACATGGCTCCCTCTGCTACCCTTCATTCACGACATGTTCCCACCAGGCATGGCTCCCTCCACTACCCTTCATCCATGACATGCTCCCACCAGGCACGGGTCCTTCCACTGCCCCAGCAGCGTGGGTTTGGGAGCCGTGCGGTAATCGGGAGGCCGAACTGAGATGCTGCCCTGATCTGCTCCACTGCACAGCCAGACAGACCGACCCGCCTGGGGCAGGGAGCTGCCACGGGCATGGGCATCTCCTACATCCCTGTTTGAAACAACTTCACCATTCTACAGCACTCCTCCCTGCCTCCCCAGCAAGGGACCTGAAGTTCTCTCTGAGAAGAAAGCCTGGGATTTCAGGAACGGCACAGCACGTTCAGTGATCAGTGAGGGTGGTGGGGTTTGAACAAGGGTGGGTGATGTTACAGAACCCAGGCAGAAAGGCTCTGAAGCACCCAAGCGTGAAGTCTCCAGGGTACCACAGACCCACCCATGAGCGCTCCCCAGAACAGAGAGTCACCACTTCTTCCAGTACTGCTGTCCAGGAGGACAACAGGGAAAAACTGCTGGAAGTTCAGATTTCTCTCTTGGTAAACAGGACAGAGAACAATGCACACATTTCAGCAACGTCTCGCTATCTATTCACAACTACAGAACCCCACAAAAAGCTGGGATCAGGAGGATGGCGCCTGTACGGACGTGCTGGCGGCAGGGAGAGCTGCACAGTTGGAGCGGGTCTCTTGGGGGCTCCTCCCATCGCACCCCGAAAACCTTCAGTTTCTCTGGACAACCTGTCCAGTCGCTCCAGCAGTCTCGCAGCGATGGTATTTTTCCTCACACCTCAACAGAAGTTTCTCATGTTGCCTCTTGTCCTTTCAGTGCGTACCCCTCGCAGGATTTTCTTTCCATTTTCTCTGTAACCTCACTTTTGAGGGTGAAAACATGCAATTAAGTTCCCCATCGGACTTTTCTCCGGCCAAACCAAGCCGAGCTCCTCTCCCCTGTCCACAACCGTCTCCCGTGCTGCAGCCCTCCCACCTCCTCGGCAGGCCTTTGCTGGGTCCCCTCCATTTGTCAACCCCTCTGCTGTGCCGTGCCGTGCCGGAGGAGAACCAGCCATGGTGGGCATCCCTTAGCTCGGGGTGAAGCTCTCCCCGGTGTCGCCCATCACGCAGCCCGCCTCTACTGCGGCAAGGGCGCAATGCTGACTCGTCTCCACCTTTACCTAAACCACAATACTTCCTACATTACAGTATCTTCCTCATGTATCAGCCTGCATAATAAAACTTCAGAAATTAAGAAAAATCGAGTATAAAATATCTAGGTTAACACGGTAACAGTGGGAGTCCAACTGGTGGCAATTCAAAATAATCGGGTTTATTCAAGAAACTTTCTGACCTCTTTGCTTTTTCCAGCTTAAACAGGGAAGACGTATAAAATGCAGAAGTGTTACATGACTCTGTTCTTCCATCATGGTTTTTTGAGGAACTGAACAGGCAGCATGAGAAAGGGGAGGGTAAGGGCACATGAAAAGGCACATTTTGCCAGGAGGCAGAAGGCTGCCAGGGATCTAAATAAAGCCCCGAGAGGCCGTTTGAAAAGAGCATCATCTCACCCTTACCCTAGAAATCCAAAGGAAGGCTTTGCCACTTGACTGCCAGGACACTGCCGAGCACTCAGCTCTTACCACCTCGCACCCAATTCCTGCTCCGCGTGCGGGGGCAGCTATAAAAGCCAACGCAATGGTGGGCATCTGCGGGAAGGATGCTCAAAGAGAGCGTCATTTTGACCACATAGAGTTTTGATGCATTCACAGCCTCAGTGACGTTAAGTTCTGGTCTCTGCATCTCAAAAGGACATTTTAGAGCTGGTACAGAGTAGGGCAACCAGAACCAAGGAGGAGATGGATGGGTGCCTTAAGACCAGAAAGGCTGGACCAGAAAGGCTGGTCTTCCGTCTTAAAGACTCCAGCTCGGAGAGGTGATGGCTGAGGGGTACACAACTGAAGTTTAGAAAATCATGAAGGTGATGGATAAATTGAGGGGAAAGCCATGGTTTGCCCTAAATACAAGAACTGGAGGTGCTTGACAAAACTGATAAGAGATCAACTGAAAAATGTTCTTTGCACAGTGACCTCCTGCTGCACAGGAGGCTGTGGGGAGAGACCGTACCAATGGATGAAGAAGGGATGAGACACCACAATGGATGACAGGTCTGTAAAAGGGCAGGGAGGGACCTTCAAAAACCTGGAATTCAGCAGTTGTGGATGCTGGAGGAGTCCGAAGGGGTGGGCGCACAGTGGGCAGCCAGGCTGACCTGCTACTGCTCTCCGGGGTCCCCAGGGGGCCGGATCCGGCCCTCGGTCCCTACGAAACGCCTGTGCTCTGTACGGGATTAAACATCCTTCCGCTCCACTTCCACCGTCTATGAAGCAGTTATGAGCTTCTCCTTAGCCAGTCCTCCGACTGAAACACAGCACTTCTCAAAGTAAATTGTTTATTTTGCTGTCGTCAGAACTCTAACTTGTATCACATGTACCTTCGTTATAACTGTTATAATGCACAATTTGCATTATAATGCATTTATTTGCTGTTCCTTTCCAGACACTCAATATATTCCATTTTTGCAGGCCTGGGAAAATACTGCATAAAACAAGAAAAATCACACCCAATCAGAGAGACGCACTCCTTCACCTTTTTCCTCCCATTTCTCCGTGCCTCGGCCAAACGCGAGCGCCGTGGGTCAGCCCCTCAGCGCGGCAGCACAGCTCAGCGCCCCCCCGCCGCTCGCTCCTCCCTCCCCACCCAGCACCAGCCAAAACCGCAGGATCATAGGGGAACCTGTGAAGGAAATTAACTCCCTCAAAGCATTTTACAGGCATTAAAAAAAAAAAAAAGAAAGAAAGAAAAGAACGAGGAAGGAGGAAGGAAGGAGGAAGGAAGGAAGAAGGAAGGAAGAAGGAAGGAAGAAGGAAGGAAGAAGGAAGGAAGAAG